TTCAGTGCTTCATCTACTGGCCAATTACAGCACATTATACAACTCCGAAATAACAGAGGGAGACAGTCAACTCAGGGTTTTAGTGTGTGTAAAATGGACGTTCAGGGGATGGGAGGGAGGGAGATGTAGTAACACTGACCGAATGATTGGTGTAATCCCTTGCGGAGTGTGAATATTCAGCTGAAGTGTTAGGTGGGGGTACTTCGGACACACGGCCATGGGACGGAAAGGAATTCAACTAACTCTCTTTGTGCACATCATGGGGGTTTGTTTATTCTAATTGCTATCGCCTCCGCTGTAGATAACAATCGAGTTTTCACATCCTTAGACCGGATGCCCGTCAGTAAAAAGATCGAACGGAATGATTCCCGCACATCGACGGTGTGATTCTTCTCGGCCAGATGTATAGCAACCGCACTCGCACCTGCCTTTATCGGTCCCTGACTGAGCCAAGTTGGGTGGTGTTCTCTCATCCGATCGGCCAGGCATCTGGTGGTGCGACCCATGTAACTTGCGTCACAGGAGCAAGTAAACTGGTAAACACAGAAAGAGGTTATCTTCATCGGTAGCCTGTCCTTCATCTGTAATGGGAGAACTGATTTGGAAGCGTAGAATATGCGCAATTCTGTTGGGAAATAACTATTTTCTACTACAATCCTTAGCCGTTTGCTCATTGTCTTCGCAAGGGTGTCAGCTTTGAAAGACAATGAAATGTAAACCTTTTTCTTCTCCACTGTTGGATCCTTTGATTTCGCAATCTAAGCTCTCATACAACGATCGACAAGTTCCTCTGGGTATCCATTTTTTAGGAACGTTGATTTAACTGTTGTCAATGCACGCACCACAGGTGAAAAAGACAAAACCGCAGCTATCGAGAAGTCAGTATCAAAGACGCTTAGGGAACTGAAACAAGATGGAATCATTGATTGTTCAACGTTTGATAGAGTCCGACCGGTGGGAACGACCATTCCTAGGTTGTATGGNCTAATTGAGCCAGTAAGGAGAGAATTGGCAAAATACTCTCTGAAGGATTCATTTGAGTTTTTGGACTTGATAGAATCTTTAAATGCAACCAACAGGCGTATATTTTCGACGGATGTTACTTCGCTATTTACCAATGTTCCCTTAAAGGAAACAATTGATTTTTTGTGTGAATACATTCAAAGAAAACATATGAATATTGGAATTCCAGTGGATCGCTTAAGGAAGCTCCTTCTGTAATGCACTTTCAATATTCAGTTTCAGTTCAACGGCTGCCTGTGTTGTCAAAAAGATGGAATCCCTATGGGCTCACCATTAGGCTCCTTATTGGCAGACATTTATAGCAAAGTTGGAGAATGAGACATTGTCCACCTATGTCGAACATTGTGTCCTATACAGGCGTTATGTTGACGATATTATTTGCGTTATTGACAATTCACGGAATCCCTCGATGTATTTGGACAGTTTCAATCGGGCTCATCCTAACATAAACTTCACGTTAGAGATGGAATCTGATCAGGGAATGGCGTTTCTTGATATTAATTTGTCACGCTGAGGAGATGGTTCCATTAAACGAAGTATATACAGAAAGAATACAGGGACAGGACAATATATCAATTTTCATAGTTTTGTCTCGATGCAGCGTAGGCGCAACCTAATTCAGTGCATCGCCAATCGCGTAAGAAGAATTTGTTCTACCGACACAGTGAATGATGAATTGGCAACAGTTAAATCAACGTTCCTAAAAAATGGATACCCAGAGGAACTTGTCGATCGTTGTATGAGAGCTTACACTGCGAAATCAAAGGATCCAACAGTGGAGAAGAAAAAGGTTTACATTTCATTGTCTTTCAAAGCTGACACCCTTGCGAAGACAATGAGCAAACGGCTAAGGATTGTAGTAGAAAATAGTTATTTCCCAACAGAATTGCGCATATTCTACGCTTCCAAATCAGTTCTCCCATTACAGATGAAGGACAGGCTACCGATGAAGATAACTTCTTTCTGTGTTTACCAGTTTACTTGCTCCTGTGACGCAAGTTACATGGGTCGCACCACCAGACGCCTGGCCGATCGGATGAGAGAACACCACCCAACTTGGCTCAGTCAGGGACCGATAAAGGCAGGTGCGAGTGCGTCTGCTATACATCTAACAGTACTTTGACCGGTCTTAATTCATAATGTGTAAACATGAACATGATTATGCGTTAACACAATATGCCTGCGTTTAAGTATGTTTATTCCCGTACTATTACACTGATCTGATTAGCACGTGGGCGAAACTGAGCTTGGACCACTAACTAGTGATTATTCTGGACTTGGTAGAATGCTGTGAATACTGTGACAGGTAAAAAACTTGATAAACTTTAACTCCACGGTGTGCAGCTTACAAATATCGGTAGGTGCACGGCCATCAGAACATAACCTTATACGAAAGTGTAGGATCCCCGGGCGCGTTTGACTTTCCAGTCTGGACAGATATGACCAAACTAGCTTGAGTCTAATACGTGATGTCTGAACAAGGTGAGCAGTTGCTTTCACGCATCTGCTCCCTCTCTTCAAACACCATGTTTTCTGCATTTCATACTTTTTTCACAGCAACTAGATCATAAATTAAAGTTTTACTGGACCTTCATATGATCGGACGGATAGAAGACCCTTCAGCGGTGGCTGAAAGCGAAGGGCAGCTTTAACAAATAGAGCAATTGCGGTACGTCACCATTTTACCAGTCTCGTGTTAGGACGAGTTTCGGACGACTTTTCGGCTGAAGGGGATGATTTGAACAATTTGAAAGGATCTAACCATACAGCATTGTGGTGATCCAGGCCTACACGATGGCGCCTACCCTGGAGCGGCGCGTTACAGTTTCAGGACATTGGCGATCAATCAAGTTCGAATGCTGACGTCAATAGCACGTGCATAGCTTCTGAATACACGTCATTGGCGGATGGTGCCAGCCAATCCTAGACAATGCAGACAGAAGCAAGATTATGCAAGCAGTGTTGCAATCCAATTGGTGGATGCCCAGGTAGCCAATAATCTCCCTTTGTACATATTATTTAATCACCTTCATTTCTTCCAGTAAACGAACTACTTACTGCCTGTCCTCTGGCCTTTTCCTCGCGTCTCGTTCTCGTGGGACATCGTTTCTGCGATCCAGTCCGTGACAGCTGATTATCGATTCGGGTCCTGCAATTCATATTGTGTGGCTGGTGTTCTGAATTCCGTGCGTATTGCTACTACTACTACTACAATCATTATAAGCATCCGTAGTAAACGGATCCCTCAATGTGCTCGAAATTGAGGCGATCTTAAACTGAACATAAACGCATACCAGACTATCGCAAGGACTGATAGTGAAGAAGCCATTAAACGCGACATAATCTGGAGAGCTCAATGAGGATTACGTCAAACTATTATGCTCTGTGGTCAATAAATTTCTCGCGTATTTTATCAGACACCTGCAAATGAAAATTGATGATGAAATACCTGATATGATCATCAGCCAGTTGTCACTCGACAACCTGAGACAGACAAGTTTCTACGACGGAGAAGTAAATTACACAACCGGTCGAGCACAGACGACTTACCATAAAGGACAATCGCGTCGACTTTATGCAGTGGCACAATATGGAAAGCGCATCAAAACCAAGATTGTGCACAGACAAAACAAATCCTCACATTCATATATAGTGGTAGGTCACATGCTGGACCATTTTTTTCTTGCAGGAGAGCTAGCCATGTATTTCAATTATTTATGCTAGAATAGTACTGAATTAATGTCAGGAAAGGAACTAAAGTTGTTAGCACAATGGGATGGTTTGTTCAATAATCGCGCATAGAAATATGCGCTGCGTCAAATCGTTGCTCAACCGTATGTGACGAAATAATGATTTGGCTCTAGGTGATAAAGCTGTCCTTTTCTCAAGCACTAACCTACTACTGAAGGCTCGCCAATCTATTGCATCACGTAAAAAGCTCCATTATGCTTTCCAATTAACGACGCATTACATCGATGATTCGCTCACTGAATTTTGCCACTGTTCCTGGCATGTGCACATGCGCGAACATACAACGGATCAGTGAGTTTTTCATCGTGGCCTGTTCTGCTTCATGGCCTTTGCGAACCCCTACAAACACGCCATGTCTTGTTTGGTCGGTCATTTTCCGATCGGATATTAGTACAGTCTGGCTGTTAGAACGTGCGTTGGCGCTTACCGGTAAACGAATCAATAATTAGGGTTAAATCCATGATCGACACCTAATAAACCGTGAGTGAGGGCTGAAAAACTATGAGCAAAAACTAAATAATCACGGGAAAGACTGACGCTCCTCGCGTGGGCTGATCCAACTGAAAACTGCACATGAAGTCAGAAGGCTTTGCTTTCATTTTGTAACCGTTGAGCTGCAGTCAACAAAATAATATCTCGAGCTTATCTTACTTTATTCCACTACAGGGTTTTCTCACTGCTCTTCGTCAAGAGATTGCTCGAGGGCAGCCCGGGTGGGCACTGGACTCGGTAGTCCTGATCAATCGTGTGACAAGGATGATTTTGGACGAAGTAAGAGAGCCACCGGTCAGTGGGATCTACATACACGGATTGTATTTGCAAGGGGCGGCCTGGGATCATCGTAGCGGACGGCTGATTGAGTCACGACCGAAACAGTTGTTTGACATGCTACCCGTGGTCAATCTGACAGCGCAACTGCAAGTTGCACAGGGACAATACATCGGTGGTTTCAGTACACCAGAAACACCACAAGGAAAATTTATATTTCGCACGGTGAAACCTATACAAAAAAATCGACTCGTTTTGACCCAGTTACCGGGTTTTTCAAAAAAGAAACCGGTAGTAACAAACGGGTGCTTACGAGTGCCTTTAAGCGGAAGTGAGAGTGACAGCAGTATACCACGACGGAAAGGAAACAATGAAGCAGCTGTATCTGAGGCTGGAGGAAGCAAGACAATCACTAGTCCCGAAGTTGCCACAAACAAAGTATATACTGCACCCGTGTATAAGAAACCGCAGAGAACAATGCTCAATTATGTCACATCACTAAAAATCGCATGTTCGAAGACAGCAGACCACTGGACACTAAGAAGTGTTGCTGTTCTAGGAGACTTTCGTTAATATTTTTCTCTGTTCGGGTTTGTTATCATGTTCGTAAATTTATTATTCACAAATTGTACGGTATGTCTTTAGCATCGAAATTGGGGCTTCTCTTGATGAGTTCGTCTCACTTCTTTGGGGTAGAATAAAGCGTGCTCGGAAAAAATAACTATCCATGCCTGACGACGTTAGGGGACATCCGTCCGAGGAATGAGAAACCTCGCTGTGCTCTCTATTCCGTAAGAAAGATCAGACAGAGATGATGAACTCAATCGAATAAAGTTTTTAAAGTACACATTATCACCGAACTACAGATCTCTACTACGAAAGTATCTGATCAATTTCAGGGCTAAGTTGCCAGGGAACACCCGAGATGAGCGCACGAACTATGAGAAACGAAATACAGTTACGTCGATATCAACGACTTGAATCCATGGCTGTACATCTGTTAAAGACGTCCAAGTCACGCGTGACTTTTACCACAATCATTATTTGTATCCAACTTCATCTAAGTTTGACATACCCCAGTGGTCAAACTTATAACAAGTAAGATACTCGAGAAATCTGATGATATTATTAAAGGTATCACATGGCGAGTCTAAAGATATATCCCCCTCTCTCCCACACACATTAGGACGTTAGTGTTTATGATTCTTTGTGAAACCCATGCCATATTACTTTACCAGTTCGAGTAGCAAGAAAATGCTATTGAAAGTGTGAAACCCTACGGTGTTCTTGAGTTTGAAGTATTTGTATTTTTATAACTTGTATACGCTTATATGCTTACATGTTACACAGAATAAAATATACAGTTTCATGTAACATGCAACGTAAAGAATGTCGCTGAAGTTTGTTTCATATACAGAACTTCTGGTGTAGTTCATTTGCGACCTGTTCCTTTTTGGTTAGGATTTTGGCCAGGTAGGGTATAGTGGAATGTTTACAAATTTTAATACGAGAGAGTAGATACCGGAAAGATGAGTGTGTGGACTGATAGGAACGACAAGATGATAGATCGGGATGCAGTGGATGAAGAGGGTGGTCTCGAATCTTATNGAATCTTATCGGCAAATTTAACACCAGAGTTGATGTGATCATTAATGAGTTCTGTGATTAATGAATCGATTGGGATTAACGATGCACGATTGATTGTCATAAAACCACGACGAATGGTTTTGAAGTCTTGTTTTAAAAGACCGGGAAACACTACAAGGGAGCAGTAGAGTCGAATGGGTAAAACGCATTGGTCAACGAAAGAGGATGGGACCGACTGTGGGTTCGGAATTGCCCGAGTTTTCCCATACAACTGTAAACGTGTGTGGGCCAAAGAAAACTGTTGTCGGTAGTGACACCCAGGTACTTGACTGAGGTCATTCTGAAGACATATTTACATTCAAGGGTAGCAGATTCCGTTGAAAATAATGAGCGGGAAAGACTGAAGATACACTCTGCGCACCTAGGTATGTTACGTCTGAGACCAGATGAATTGGAAAACTGTTGGACTTGGGATAGATTTTCAGTGGAAGAATCAAATTCCGAAGGAGATAAAATTTTCTGACAGAGCAATATCGTTAGCATACTTTAGGTGTGCGCAGGGGGTGGGACCGAAAGATCACTAATAAAAGCAGAAAAAAGATATGAAGATAGAACAACAACCTGAAGAACACCAGGACTACTAATAAGAGGTTTTGATGTCCTCCGTCCTAATTTGGTGCTGAAGCCTCTCGGTGAAATATTCAGAAAGCCATGAGAACAGCTGTCCCAGATATTTACGTTTGAAAAGGAGGGATGACCGAGAAACAGTCAAACGCGGACAAATAGTCAAGAAAAAACACAAAGGACAGATTTGGCCGAATTGTTCCTTACTGATCAAATGGATTATAGTGGATATGGTGTCCATTGGAGATCCAAACCAGTGCGCATGTGTGAGGACCAAAGTGCGAGTGACATCCGGTCACGGAACTAGAATGTTGATTATCTCTTTTTCAACTTGTCTTGATCTCTCCACCCCACCCCCCCCCCCCCCCGCCAAACAGTTTGATGTAAATTGTGATGTATTAGCCTGTAGAAGAATCACCGCAAACGAGCTTGTTCGCTACTTTATGTTTTCTCACAATGGGTATGGATGGTATATTCGGACCATTGTAGATCTGTTGGGTCTATATGTCAAATGGAGGGGGTCGTAAGGGGTGGCGGCAATTGACTGCAAACGATTCATGATGGCCTTTTCAGTCAAATTTAGAGCTGATGAGGTCAGTGCGACAGAACGAAACGGTTTCGCGGGAATAGTTGGGGACGAGGATCTAGGATTTTAAATAATGGTAACATGACGCCAGGAATCAGGAAGTGACCAGTAAGATAGGGACTCATTCACGACGGATGTTTTTTATTACACGCTTTCCTGTGATGCCTCAGTATGGTCGGGAGGGGGTGTCTCGGGCTCCGAAATGGCCATTCGTCCCGAACTCCTCTAGAAATGCTCCCAAAAGACCAAGCGCCTCAAATAGCTTCTGTTGAGAACGTCCTACCCACTGCCTTCTCGTGGCGGTGTTAACACTAAAGTGGGAGGGTAAAGGCGAATGTCCGGCGCTTTCCATCGGGTTGACTGACCACTGGTAGTCAGTCTAGGGGGAGTTGGCTAAACCCTGATTCCAAACCACCCACACTTGGAGTAAGAAGCTCATAGTGGCACCAATCTTCAGCGCAACCGAACCGGTCTCCAAAGTTAATCCTTGGAGTTGACCACCGTGATGCTCACCAGCAAGTGCGCGGCTCAAGGGCAATCTGGGTAC